TGGTGCGGCAGCTCCAGGACTGGAGGGGAGAGGGCCGCCTCTCCCCGACTGCAGCAGCTCTGGGGCTGGGGCTGCAGCTGCAGGAGAGGTGCCTCTCCCCGCTGCAGCCCTAAGCACCTGCCTGGCAGTGCAGCTTAGAGGGAAGCTAGTTCAAGAGGGGCAGGCAGTTGTTCAGGGAAAACAAACCCAACCCAGGACCTGCTGCGGTGTCTGAAGAAGATAGACCTGCCTTCACTACCATGAGGAGAAGTGTATAGTAAGAGACATGTATATACCAACTATTTTGCTGCACTTTGACCGTGTCTTAAAAGTAGTAAAATAACACTAATGACTTCTATTTCAAACAGAAAAGGGTCAGAAGAAATTCATTCCATTCTATACCAAGTATTAACTACTTTTAATCCATCTGTATCTGGATAGCACACCATAGCTCACGTGTCTGTGATTGGACTTCAGAGAAGAAAAGGTGATTAAATACAGAATACCAAGGGACTGATGAGTAATCTAAATAAAATCCCTGAAAGCATCCTGACTTTATGGATAAGTCTAGTGTCATATTGCCCATGTAAGCGTTAGAGAATTTATTAATAAGCTCAGAGACGAACTCTTTGCTGAGATGCTGCATAGTAGTAGTTGTTTCCCTAATGGTGCTGTATTTAAGAAGTGATATTTGAGGTATGCCAAATATAAAAAGTTTAATAGATCACAAACACGAAAGTGGGATTTTAGGTCAAACTAAGTCCAGTTAGGAAAGGCTGGAGACATGGAGATTAGGAGCTACCCTCAACTATACAGCCTCTAGAACACAGAAGTAAAGGCACGTGCTCAACATAGCAAGATACTTGTAAATAAGATGGGTGGTCTGCAATGATGCTCATCATTGACATCTCTTTCCATGCATTAATCATGACTCAGCAAAGATAACAATTTGTTATGAACTACCAAAGTTGAAAAAGACTGGGAGCTACAGCTTCCAAAACGGAAATTGGAAACTGCCAAGTTAAAAATAATGTCACTCAATTATGATCACTTTCTTCACTCCCACTTTCAACTGTCATATGATTTTTGAAAACTGCTATTTTGAAAGCAACTGCAGCGAGAAGTCAATACTTTATAGCATCAGAAAGCTTGGAATGCAAGTCTTCAAATGTTGGAGAGCTTTGTTCTCCAAGACTAGATGTTTGAGGTATCAGCTGCAAGATACAACTGTTAAGTGGGGGATCTGCAATATTTTGAAAATACCTACCTAAGCAATATTTTAATGATACTTACTAGCCACAACTCAAAATGTTACATCCCCTCCTGGTACTGTTCCAGGTTAGCATAAACAAATTAAAGTAATGTAACTTCTTAAAGCATTTGCAGCACACCACTGTTGGACTCTTGTGCAAGAAATACTTCCCAATTGGAATCTTCAGATTCCAGTGGTGAGCTGAATAGCTACAACTATTTTCATGTCAGTACTAGCACATGGGTTAAAGTAACAGCAGAGCTCCATAAAGCATACCTCAGGTGCAAGTACAAACGTCTGCATGAACCTGCGCACTGGCTGCATGTTATTGGAGAGTTCTCCCATCACCTGGACTACAACACCATCATTAAGAGTAGCATGGGCATCCACATGACGGATCTTTGTGTGGCAGTCCTTAAAGTTCAGTGACAGCACCTTCTTGTGGATGTCCTGCAAAAGGCAGAGAAGAATCAGTTACCCATTTTCTAAGATAATTCAGTTTATCAGAAAGACTTGTATAGTGCAGATTGGTGGGTATAGAGAATATCAAGTTTAGTGAGAGGCTTGCGGCCTAGGGTTGCCCTCAAAGCCCTAGAGAGCATAGTCCCAAATGCCACTCCCCCTTGGTGTAGTTCTTTATATTTAAACTTTTCTCAATACCTTCAGTCTTCACTATTTTAGTCTCTCTAGGTCAATCTGCTGTTTGGCCTTTCCCCCCTCCCTCTCCAATTTTGGTGCCACTTGCAAATTTGATCATAAAAATGAACTCACATCAAGGCAACAGACAGACAGACAGACAGGCCATGCCACGCGCTTTTTCTTCTGAGTTGAGACAAGAGTCAAAGAGGACACTTGGACTTTGCTTTAGTTTGCAGAAGATATCATTGCCTGAATACCATTAAATGCTTCACCACTGACACACTGCTTTAATGTGGTGTTCTTATCAGTATTTTATATCCATCTCCAAATTCCATAGCTTTTGACAGTTTTGGGAACATGTGACTAGTTTGCCTACCAAGCACAAAAGGATGGCAAATTAATTCTCAAGTCCCAGAATAGACTTCTCCAAGATGTTCATATTGCACCCAGTAAAACTACAAACACCTCAGAGAGTATGGACACACATATGCTCAGTATCATCTAATAGACAGATCTGCTTGAAACACTAAACAAGCCAGAAGATCTTAGATCAGAAAAATCTAACTGTAAATATTTAATTCCCTGCAAAAGTATTTCACTCAGTTTTACAGACGCTTACAGATTGCCCATAGACTGCATCAGCTGGTTTTCCATTGGAATCCAAGCCACCATGGACATAGGAAGAATTCTTTCCATAAAATCTGTAAAAGAGGGAATTTATAGATTAAGCCTTGTTGCATTAAAAATTGAATCATGTTACTGGTCTTCAGCAGACAGTATTTTACTATAAAAATACTATATTTGAACTAAGTCTTATTAACAGCACACAGTCAAGATTGCTCAGTCCAAAATTTCAGCGCAAGCAAATCCAAATTCCTATTTGCAAGTATTTGTTCTTCAAAACCAAAATTCTTCAGTTTTCCTACCGCAAGGTGCAGAGTTCAGCACAGACGATAATACTCTCACTGAACAGGCCCTTGAGTTTTCTGCTCTTTTAAAAGAATTCAAGGGGTGTCTAAAGTCACCTAGCCAGTTCCAGATTCTCTGGATAGGTTTTAGGAAGACAATACTCTGGAATCTGTCATCTTCCCTATGGGTAGATACTCAACGATACTCAAACCACTGGTAGAGGCACAAGACACCAGTTTTGACATACAACTGTACTCTGGAAAGTGGCCTCTAGAAACAGCAGTGTTCATATGTTTATTGCTTCAGTGATTTCTAGATCAAAATTTGCTCAGTTAAAACTCTTATCCCAATTAACTGCTAACCCTGTAAACTCACCTTAGTATATAAAAGTCAAGTTGAATTATTTCTGGCTTAGACACTTTCAACAAAGAATCTGTAAGTGGAACTTGGTTCTGTTGACTGCCAATTTTACAGACTTTTCCTGATCATAATTACACTAGATTGGTTTTATTACACTCTTAAGAGGAAATAGAATTATTTTAAACAAAAAACTGAACAAGCCATGCCAGCCCTAGTACCACTATTTACCCAAGTAGAGCTCCACTGACCCTAAAGGACACCAAATGACTGCAGAAAGCCTATAAAGACTGTTTTTTTAAAAGGTTCTTAAACACATTTGCATGCTGACTCTCAACCACAGCCTAGAGAAGCTTTAACAAAACCATATTCTGCTGGAATATGCAGTTCCATCAAAATTGAAATCCCTTGTGAAATGTTTTTGATTTTGCCAAAGCTTTGTTTTGGAAGAAAAAAGTTCTGACAACACCCATTTCACTATGTTCGGAATGAAACATTTTGACTTTGTTTTCAAACATTGTTTTGAAAATTTTATATCGTACACAAGTTTTGACTAAAAAAAAAAAAGTTTTAATCAACCCAAAACAATTTCTTCACATTTTTTTTGTGAGAGTTTAGAAATTCGTATCTTGAAATCCTTTGCAAAATGAAACTTCCATTCTATACATAGCTCTAGTGGAGACATTTAGTATTTATTTTAATTTTGACACGTACCACAACTCATCTATAATTTTCCTTCTAAAGTCAGCAACCTAATATGCAGGAGCAACATCACAAAAGAGTGAGAATGCAGTGATTTACAGACAGAATAGTATCATCTTTAAGAGACTGGGGGGGGGAGAGCGGTGGAGGACCCACAAAAGAGGCCTGTTTCAGTCAAAAGTACCTCGACACTTCCCATTCAAAGTGCTGCTAAGCAGAATCAGTGTCACAAACTACAAAACTTTGCCTCTCATTTTCTTTGTACAATTTGCCAAGGCTATTTCTGAGAAATACGAGTAATACTTCCTAAACACTTGGGTGGCTTGACAACCCATTCAGTTAAGTGAAGAGCTTCTCCTGGCAAGTGAAGGACATACATCCATTTCTGTAGAAATTCAGCTTTTTAAAAGAGTTCTTGACACTAGTAATTGCAAAATAAACTTCCTAAGTGTGAGCCAATGCAATGCAGTCTTATGAGACAGCAGCAAGCCTCGCAGCTTCACACTGCTGCCTAGGATAATTAGCAAGACGTAGGTTAGTTTCACTCCTGCTATTCAGAACTCTCTGGACAGCAGCGAAACTGACAGGACGCATGCGAATACGTCTCTGGTGCTGCTGTTTTGGAAAACTATGAACAGCAGCACATGCAGGCACTAACGTATTTGGGAAGACAGCCAAAAAAACCCCAGCTAAAGTAGCAGGAAACAGCCGCCTCCACCATTAGAGCCATCAGGAAGTTCAATGATTTGGGGAGCAAAAGAGACAGAACCACCAGTATGGTCCACCACAGCTCCCTGCTAAGGATCTTATCAGCCTTTTCCAGCAGCTGGGATTGGTGCTAGGCTTTGTAGGATCCTGGTGTGCTCCTCTCCCCAAGCCCAAAGCTCATCTTCCATATCAACCTAGTCCTTTGGCTAGCAGGTGCCATCTGGCAATATTTAGTCAAGTCCTGGTTATAAATTATATTCAGAAGGATATTTTATTAACCTAGAGACTTAAAAGATACTAATGTGCAAACTACAGGTGAAACTTACATTTTATAGCTTCTTCTACTATTTGCTAAAATAGCAGTAGTATTACAGAGCAGAGAATTTTGCCAGCAGGTACAAGTTAGATTAGAATAAAAACCCTGAGAATATGCAATAAACTGTGTCTGGACTAAATGAGTGGGTTAGCTGCTCTGCACACTTGTGAACAATTCCAAATCATCTTCACCCGATACCCGGTGACATTTATGCATGAAGAGGATTTCAGGATTGTGGGAGTTCTTAGCTTATGTAGTGTGGTAAAGCCTAACCCCAAGCAAGCATAAGTCTCCCAATGAATGATATATTTATTATCAGGGTGGACCTATTTAAGTCAGCAAGCAGGAAACCCTAATTTAAATAATTGATTTTAGCCTTATTTAGCATTTGCGCTGGTTTTTCTAAAGAAAGGTTAATTTTCACTGCTTGGTATAACCATTAAAATGTGTTCATTTCCAATCAAATATACTAAACTTGGCCTTTACACTTCATGAGTCTTTTTGCTAACAAAAAGAAGGTTATGGGGTGACTATCACAGTTTATAACTAAACTACATGAGAAACAAAAATGTGATTGATAATAGGCTCTTCAATTTAGCAGACAAAGGTGTAATAAGATCCAAGGGCTGCAGAGTGAAGCGAGACAAATTCAGGCAAGAAATAAAGCACAGATTTTTATCAGTAAGGGTAATTAGCTACTCGAACAATTTACCAAAGACTGTGGTGGATTCTCCATTACTGGTAATTATCTAGATGGGATGTTTGTCTAAAAGAAATGCTCTAGTTCAAACAGGATTTAATTCAGGAAAATTATATGACAGGCGTTATGCAGGAGGTCAAACTAGATGATCACACAGCAGACTCTTCTGGCCTTATAATCTAGGAATATACAGGATAAGCAATATAATTGCTTAAATATAGATATACGATAACATACATTTTTACTTTATGTTAGAAATGCATCATTCATCAGTTTATTTACTAGATAATGATTTCCCTGAGCATGTGTGTCAAACTGCATTTGAATGGAAATTGGAGTTCAGTTAAAAGTGTACAAAATTCAAAAGGGCCCTGCTTTATCTTGAATAAACTAGTCCAAAGGAAAATATTCTCTCTGTACCTGTTAGCTAACCTGAAACCCAAAGTAATCAAGACAAAAAAATATTTCCGCAGAACAGAAACCAGAAGTAGACATGTAAATACCGGCATTCATTTCATTGTAAAGCTGAAAATATGGATACTTAATGCAATAATGTGACATTTATAAAGCTTGAGTTGATCTCAAAAGTTAGAGATTTTTTCCTCTGATTCTGCATAGAATTTAAAATTCCAGAACGCTTTAATTCCTTACACTTTTGGAGCAGGTCAATGATATAATGTGCCTTTTAAAAATTATTTTAATGGATTAAATTAAGTGTAGGCCTTAAAAATAGGTTGCCGTAACTTCCGATTTAATTTTCAACAGGTTTATTTTAATTTAAATCTTTTTAAAAAAAGATATTCATTTTTAGCCAACCTTGTTAGTCTTAGAATGAGACCTGAATGAGTAAAGAAGCTTCAGACTAACACCAAACAGAGCAGTTCTCAAAATTTAAGCACTGACAATTAGAAATACCTTAGACAAATAAAAATGGTCTGCTGTAACCTTTACTTTTATCTTCTATTTGGTCGCAGCTGGGAGTGAATTAATTTAATGTAAGATTAGCATCCACCCAGCACAAGTATCCAAATCTTGCATCTGGCAAGCCAAAAGGAGGGTACAGGTTTGTTACAGTTTATAACATACATGCAAAGAAAAACAAAGTGAAACATTAAGACGCATTACCTGTGCAGGTAGTCTGGCGCTTGATTCAGCAGAGTATAATACTGCCTCACAAATTCCCGCCCGACCAGCAGGGGACTTGGCTTCTCCATCACCATTTCTTTGGTCAACTGGAAACTGAAGAACAAAAGCTCCATGAAAATTTAGCTCACTATTTTGTTGTACATATTGAGACATGAGACAACATGAAAGTATATAATTACAATGAAAAACAAACACTATGATTAGTTTTAACACAATGTTATCCACTTCATTCATACGGATATACTATCAACTTTTTTTACTGGGGAAAAACAACAGCGTGAACAACTAGATTTTTGTTCCATTTCATTTCAACAAGAAAGAGTTTAAGTATCCTAAATTCCCACATACCCTGGTAGCAAGCATACAAGAAAGATTCTTCAAGAGGATTTCCTAAGCGGTTAAGTCATTCACAGCAGATTCAAGGTCTATTTACCTCACCTGACTTCACAATAAGGACACTCTAAAGTTTGAAGCCTATGCTACTGTATTAAGACCATTTTTAAAAAAGGTCAGTCCAACCCATTTTTGTCAACAGCACAAAACTCCTACAGGACTCTAATGCAGTTCTAAACAATCTCAAATTTAACAGGCATGCTGGACTGTATTAAGGTAGCCTAATGAACAAAAGCAAACTCCTTCCTTCCCACCCATCTTCCCTCACTTAGCTGATCACGTGTCAGCTAAATCCAACAGATAAGTCAAATGAGTTACAGCTTAGGGCATAGACTGTCTATTTACCTTTTATTTAATCCGACTGGATCAATAATTATAAAAAGAAAATCTTTGCTGCTAAGAGAGATTCACAAAACATCCAGCTTCTAAATCTTAATGTCTAGGTCAGTCTAAAAAAGGACTCCATGTGGTCCCTATGTGCTTCCCCTCAATTATTCACATAAAAAACGGTGCAGATTATAAATCAATGCCAGAGTTTTCTGGCTCCCAGTACTGGAGTTCAAGCTGGGCGACTGTTGCTTCATACATCACCATTACAGAGATGGGTACTGGGATCGGCGCTTGGTTGGCAGTTTTGTTGTTGTTGTAAGGCAGAATACATGATAGCTGGCTCTACTGGCCCTGCACTGCAGTCAGTAATAAAAACCTAGCAAAAGTTTGTACTAAACCAAGCAGATGTTACCCAAAAGGCATATGAAAGCCACTTTCCCCCAGTGTTCCACACCCTAATCCCTTCTTCCTGCAGCCAATCAGGGTTTTAGAAATGTGCCATACCTGCCCCACACACCCATCACTCAACTTGAGCCTCAACAGTGAGTTTTAGATTGGTTTCATTCTTTTAAATTTGTGCTACTAAAAAAAGCTTCGGGGCTGGAATCGGGTCTCCTCCAACAGCTTGAAGGGGCCATAACAACCTCCTAGGGAATTTCTCCAGCACAAAAGCAGCACAGAACCAACAACGGCAGCCCTACTCTGCCCTCTGGCATAATGCCATCGTGGGGGTATACAGAGAGAGAAAATAGCCTCTGAATATTCTATAGATGGTCAGGCAAGGCTGCCCTAAGTCAGAACAGCCTCAGGACCTGCTTTAACTTATTCTGGAGGCTACACCAGCCCAGGAGGTAGCCCAGAATTGGAGTGGTACATAGCCACCTTTGCCCTCTCTTACCTGGACAACATCTTTTGTGCCGCACCTCTGAAGAAGTACAGCACAGCATCTCAATCTTAGGCTGTGTCTACACTGCCACTTTCAGCACTAAAACTTCAGTTGTTCAGGGGTGTGAAAACACACCCCCAGTACAATTATTGCCGGGAGCCGTGCTCCCAGCGATAAAGTTACCACATCTCGTTCAGGGTGGTTATTTTTTTTATTGCTGGGAGAGCTCTCCCACACTGATAAAGCATGACTATAACATGGGCAGTGCAGACAGACTCTTAGTTTTGTTATTTTAAAGTGACAACCAATTGGAGTCCATCATAAACCAATTCATTAGAAATATTCTGAAAGCAAAAGTCAATAGCTTCGGTGTTTGACTTTAAGGACATGTTACTTCAAGTGCATCCTAAAAATGCTGGATTCACATGTTCTAATAAAAGCTACGCGCAAGGAAGCAAGTCATTCAAAAGATGAAGAAAACTACAAACAGACATACAAAATTTGATTATTAAGGGATCATAATGGTCCCATTCTCAGTAGGACAAGTCGTTATCAAGATGCCCTGATATTAGCCAAGCGTAAGTTTTGCACAAGACTCAGTCTTCTATAAAGAGCCGGGCCGGAGGGAGATGGGGGGAGGAGATCAAAAAAAGAAACAGCAAGAGACTGTCTCGAGAGACAGAATTCTAATGAACAATTCTGAACAGAAGTCGCTTGACTCTCAAAAACAATAATCAAAATCAAATCCAAGCCTACAGAGTTTTTTTACATTCACATATATAAATTATTGCTCTTGCCTTTAATTGTATGCCGTCTCATTTTGGGCCAAAGTCTCCGCTCTGCTCTGGCAGCCCAATGGGGATGGAAAGCCAGCTGGGTGCTCCCCATATGTAGAATACCCAGGGAAACCAAGCTAATATAGCCGGCTCTGATACCTGCTCTTGAACTTTTCTTCCCTTCCCCCTGCATCCAGAAGCCCAGTGCACCCCTGAGACAGCAGAACTGCCCCAAATTACCTTCAGGATTCAGGAGTGAAAAAAAATTACTGATTTCCCCTGCCCAGATGCACTATGCCCTGTTCCAGCATACCTGAGGATCCAGCCCTATGCTGCCAGAGAAGAGTGGTTTTGCCCAAATTATAGGCGAGATGCCCCATCAAGCTTACAACATGTGGCAGTCTAATGATCTGTAACGAAGATAACACCAGAACAATTTAGGAAGAGGCAAATACTGATGGTTTCCAGTATGCACATAGGCATGCAGAGGAAATTATGGCCACAGTGGAGGATGTAGCAGATACAAACAGTAATTTCAAACTCCAAAAAGAAAAGCAGGGAACTCCTGAATATCACAAATTCTTAAGTCTACCTTATCAGATTCTTTATACATTTCAGCTTTGTTCATCTGATAGCCCACAAGAGGCCTCCTTCTCTACAGGAACGAAACCATGCAGATGAGTTTTATTCTCGGTTTGGTAGGACTTATGAATAATACATTTAAGTATTATAGTAGCACCCAAAAACTCAGTTGTGACCAAGATGCTACTGGGCTAGGTACTATGAAAATGTAGGAGACAATCCCTGCCCTGGAAGACAGTCAAAAAGACACAAAACAGACAAAGGTTAGGGAACAGGGATACAACGTACAAGCAAACTAATATGGTGATGCTTGATACAGCTGTGTAAGTTACACATTTAGTTGTTTAAATTGGGGTGGAGAAGGGTGAACAATGACAAGGATTGAAGCAGCATGAGGGAGTCGGAAAAAGGAAAGTGGGGGAACAGCCATGCTAGCTACGACCTACAGCGAGGATTTTGTAGACCCCACATCGGAGATGAATTTTAAGGAATTGGAGGTTAAGAGAATGGCTGAACAGATTGTATCAGGAGTTTTGCCTACATAGGCAGTGGTGTGGGAGAGACTGCAAAAGTGTTTAAAGTGACAGTCTTACTGATGGGCAAAGGCTGGAAACTTTTACAGACTGAAGGAGGAGCATGGCTCAACACTGTGGTGTTACTAGATCAGCTAGGTAAAGTAGAGTTAAGTTGTGAAGGGCTATTTAAAGATGACCTACAGAGGATTAAAAGAAGATTTGTGCTCTCTTCCCCCACCTCCAAAATGTATATAAAAAGAGGTCTAATTTGTGACTTAATAAACATGTTCGTGTTTTACCTTAGCAATATCAGGAATGCCAAAGCCCGGAAAATAAGATTTGACATGCTCCGGAGGATACATATTTGTGAGCGCCTGCTCCTTTTGTTGAAAAGGCTGGTGTATACACCCTTGGACACAAAACAAAAAACACACACAGCCTTTCTTAAAGGTCCTACAGATAATGGTGTTAAACACGAACTAAAACCAAAATCAGGTTCTCTCGAAGTTGACTGAATAGCTGTCAGTCTCGATATAAATTTCAGGAGTTCTGCAAGTCACCACAGACCAAGGAAGCTGCACATATCTGGCCCACGGACACACTCAGATTCTGTAGACTCAGAATTACTTTTTTTTTAAATGAAAGTTTCTAACCATGATGGTTATCCAAAAAGCCTTTCAAATGTGAATCATGTGTATAGATCCAGCTCCCCATCCACTGTTAATTTCATTGGGTGAAAATTCTAAATCCCAAGGATGACACTGCAAATAGTGAAGAAAGGGGGCGGGGGGGATGCATTAAATTGGCGGAACTACAAATGATGAAAAATAGGAGTCAAGTCCTATCCAATACCCACTTTAAGAAAAGAGGCAAGATTTAGTTACTGCACAGATCACAGTGATGCTGCAATAAACTCATGAAATGATTGATTTTTTCATACCCATATCATTGTTTACATTTGTAAATGAGCTGGATACCATGTTAGTAGATGACCTAATACTTGCTTGTTTGCCTATAAACCTGGTTTTTTTAGCACACAAAAGATTTGGGAATACCCACATCTAGGGCCTGATCTAACTCCCAGTGACTCAATAGGAGACTTTTCACTCACTTCAGTGGAAGCTGAATCAGACACACAAAGATAACCATTTTATAAAAACAATAATCTATTGCTTTCAGAATGGTAGTCCAATTTGGTACACTTTTGTTTCACAGCGCCGTCATGACCTACTACCACAGAATTTGACACAGTCCCAAATCCAACAGAATATACTGTACAAAAACCACAGCCATTTTATCAGAATCCTTCCCCCCCTTTGAGGTGTATCTTTTTCCTTTCATAGATGAATGTTTCCTAGCTACATTCAGCCACTAGGGTTCACATTACTTTGCATGCTGCTGTGTTAAACTGTGCCACTACTACACTGAAGACAGATTTCCACCTCTGCTAATCAAAGATGGATTTTATCATACAAATACCAAACTAAATTAGCACAGGGCAATTCTAATTCAATACTTGCTACTTAGTTCTGATATAGACTTTTCACATTTACTGCTGACTTGTACCATGCAAAGAGTGTCCTAACTTTTTTTTTTTTAAATTCTGCTTAATAAGTGAAAAACCAAACAGGA